TGTCGCATTCATTGAGACATTTCGAGCCGTGCACCGGTCGCCCAGGGCGTTTTACGCGTGCGGGGTATGCGTTGTCCACAGAGCGACGAGAAACAAACGTAGCTGTAATCGATCGGGCCTGTGTTCCCAATGCGGGAATGCTGGTGGGTTGCAGAGCATGTGGTTCGCAGGCCGGTGAAGAGAGGGGAGGGGTTTGTTTTTTGAGGATTCCTTGCTGTATTTCCTGCGCCAAATTCCCCGAGCGGCCAGACTTTTCTCCGAAAAAGATTTCCCCACGAGGGCCAGGAAATGCACGAATGGCTCTCACCCACCAGATCACGACAAAAAAAAACAACAGCAAATAAATACATAAGCAAACGGATAATGCAGGTATCAGTGGCGAAATAACTACATTATCAGTGACGTAGTAATTACATTAACAGTGGTGTAGTAACTACATTACCAGTGGCGTAGTAACTACATTATCAGTGGTGTAGTAACTACATTATCAGTGGTGTAATAACTACATTATCAGTGGTGTAGTAACTACATTATCAGTGGCGTAGTAACAACATTATCAGTGGCGCAGTAACTACATTATCAGTGGCATAGTAACTACATTATCAATGGTGCACTAACTACATTATCAGTGGCATAGTAACTACATTATCAGTGGTGTAGTAACTACATTATCAGTGGTGTAGTAACTACATTATCAGTGGCGTAGTAACTACATTATCAATGGTGCACTAACTACATTACCAGTGGTGTAGCAACTACATTATCAGTGGTGTAGCAACTACATTATCAGTGGCGTAGTAACTACATTATCAGTGGTGTAGTAACTACATTATCAGTGGTGTAGTAAACTACATTATCAGTGGCACAGTAACTACATTATCAGTGGCGTAGTAACTACATTACCAGTGGTGTAGTAAACTACATTATCAGTGGTGTAGTAACTACATTATCAGTGGTGTAGTAACTACATTATCAGTGGTGTAGTAACTACATTATCAGTGGCGTAGTAACTACATTATCAGTGGCGTAGTAACTACATTATCAGTGGCCTAGTCAACTACATTATCAGTGGCGTAGTAACAACATTATCAATGGTGCACTAACTACATTACCAGTGGCGTAGTAACTACATTATCAGTGGCGCAGTAACTACATTATCAGTGGTGTAGTAACTACATTATCAGTGGCATAGTAACTACATTATCAGTGGTGTAGTAACTACATTATCAGTGGTGTAGTAACTACATTATCAGTGGTGCAGTAACTACATCATCAGTGGCGTAGTAACTACATTATCAGTGGCGTAGTAACTACATTACCAGTTGTGTAGTAACTACATTATCAGTGGTGTAGTAAACTACATTATCAGTGGTGTAGTAAACTACATTATCAGTGGCGTAGTAACTACATTATCAGTGGTGTAGTAAACTACATTATCAGTGGCGTAGTAACTGCATTATCAGTGACGTAGTAACTACATATCAGTGACGTAGTAACTACATCAGTGGTGCAGTAACAACATTATCAGTGGCATAGTAACTACATTATCAGTGGTGTAGTAAACTACATTATCAGTGGCGTAGTAACTACATTATCAGTGGCGCAGTAACTACATTATCAGTGGCGTAGTAACTACATTATCAGTGGTGTAGTAACAACATTATCAATGGTGCACTAACTACATTACCAGTGGTGTAGTAAATTACATTATCAGTGGCGTAGTAACTACATTATCAGTGGCGTAGTAACAACATTATCAATGGTGCACTAACTACATTACCAGTGGTGTAGTAACTACATTATCAGTGGTGTAGTAAACTACATTATCAGTGGCGTAGTAACTACATTATCAGTGGCGTAGTAACTACATAATTAGAGGCGTAGTAACTACATTATCAGTGGCGTAGTAACTACATTATCAGTGGCGTAGTAACTACATTATCAGTGGCGTAGTGACTACATTATCAGTGGCATAGTAACTACATTATCAGTGGCGTAGTGACTACATTATCAGTGACGTAGTAACTACATTATCAGTGGCGTAGTGACTACATTATCAGAGGTGTAGTAACTACATTATCAGTGGTGTAGTAACTACATTATCAGTGGCGTAGTAACTACATTATCAGTGGCGTAATAACTACATTATCAGTGACGTAGTAACTACATTATCAGTGGCATAGTCACGACATTATCAGTAGTGTAGTAATTAAATTATCAGTGGCGTAGTAACGAAATTACCATTATCAGCTCAGGGGGCACGGAAATCGGTCAGATGGGGCCCCAATATTGTATTTGTCTCGTACGGTCACACTTTGGGCTTATTATACATCGCAGCTCCTCTTGCCTCATCACATCAGCGCCACGCTCACGGTCTCGAACATTAAAGCTCTGTAGGGGCGCTCGGTCTTCGCAAAACAAGTGTTTTGTTATATTGACACTGTTGTTGAAAAGATCTCATGGTGGTCATCAAGGGAGGTTCAACTCGTAGCTTTGTCCACCATGGGAAGCCAAGTCACCCCCTGCCCCCACACCCCAGTTAGGCTACTGGTAGGTATAGATAACATAAAGGTGATGCCAATGCAGGGAGGTGAAGGTGATAACTGCGTGGTGTGCGAGGTCGGTCGAATCAAAGGGTGCACGAACGCGGCACCGGTTAACTTGGTGTTCGTCAATAATTTCCAGAAGGGGGGGGGGGGGGGCGCCGCTTTCGCCAATAAGACATCAGTGCGAGGTTCCACCGCACATTTGAAACCATTGGGTTTGACAGCCATATTGGGGGGGGGGGGTGGGTGATGTTTTCACACGTTGCGTGTTATCGGGGGGCCGCACTCAAGGCCGCGGACCATGCAATGAAGGACACTGCTTCAAGCGTTCCGGTGCGTCTTCGGGCCGCTGCAGCGCGTCGTTCGGCGCGACGTCCGACGCTTCGCTCCACGCGCTGGTGGAGCTTCTTTAGCACCGCATTCAGTGCCCGAAGAATCTCCTGGCACGCGGCGCGAGACGTCGGGACACTGTGCGCCGAACAACGCGCGGCACGACCGCGCGCAACCGCGATAACAACAGTGACCTTCTTTTCACCGTTCCTCTGCGCGTTTCAATTAGCACGGGGCCCCATTACCCTCCTCCACTGCACGCAAATATGGAGCACGACAACGCCAGTCTGGGCTGCTTGCGATCACCGTAGGCTCTCACATACGTACACAAACAAAGATCCCCCGTATAGCCTTTGATAGGCTGTTGGGGGCAAGTGCTATTAATGAGCGTCTATGAAGGCTGACACGGCTCGCACACGAGAGGATGAGTCGCCCAACACCATTCCCGGTCTCCTGCGTCTACCCCGGCGCTGACGTTTACACAACAGGTACTCATTTAAGGCCGAGTAGACCTAAGGGAGGGTCAGGAAATCCGCAAATATTCGCCACCGTTTTTGGTCGTGAGCGGGAATCAAATTTCGGTTGCACACAAAGACAGAGAGACACACAGACACTATACATAGCTTACACGCGTTGTACATATCTCGCACAAATGCCGACGCAAGGCCTTGCCAACGTATATCGTGTTGCAGTTTCAGGATCGCATTCGTGTTGAGGGAGGGAGGGAGGGGAGGTGTTATTCTTTTTTTCGTAATTGCACAAAAATTCGGCTGCTTTTTCTTCGTTCCAGCTGAAGAAACAAAAACGGCAAAATTCGCCGAAGTCGCCCGGGAGTTACGACGTCGTCGTCTTATTCGGGGGGGTGGAGGAGGAAAAAAAGAATTTGCGCAACAAAAAAATGTCGGGAAAAAAGGAGTGTCTTTTGTTGTTAATGTCATCTCGTGAAAAAAAATAAGAATAGGATTTGCCCTTTCTGGCAATAAAACAGTTTGTGTTAAGACGTTCGAACACCGAATATAAACCTTTTGCAAGGAATCGAGTTCGCATTCACCACACGTACTTGCGGTGAACATGCAGACAAACTCTGACAATTAAACATGCATTGTCTTTGAAACTGATTGCCCGCCACCTGTTTTATTGGCAGAAAGAGTAAAACTTATCCTTACTTTTCATACTTTTATACTCGCAAAAATGTCCCGTGATAATTTAATCTTGTTTCATTCCCTGCCGATTGCAGGAAATGAAGGAAATCTGGCAGATTCCTAGTTCGTGCGTGCATTGCATAAAGAGCTGCCAGCCCCTTACTATCGCATTCGCAGCGTACGGTGTGGTGTTAATTAAGGTTAGAGGGGCACATGTTTTGTTTGGAAGAAGTTGCATCAAAAATAAAAAATAATACAAGCCACGTGGCACGAGAAAATAAATAACATATGACGCGCTGGCGTTTTAACACTGTACAACAGCGTCTGGTATTGACTCCTCTGTTTACTTTGCGATGTGAGTGAGCACATTCGCGTATTCACGTGTGCCTATGCGTGCGCACGTCCCAAATAGCCACCAGCGATAGAAACCGACAGAAGCGCGGAATATTTACAAAGCCACACACCTCCCCACGCTACCCGTGCCAGTGTGAGTAAATCTCGTTAGCCAACGCGACAGGAGCCAGGAGCCAGGCAAGGAATATGCGCTGTTGCATCAGCGCCAAAATTACAACGCACGACTACACAGAGAGAGAGCGAGAGAGTGTGTCGCGCTGTGTAGGTGTGCTGATGAGAGTGGTTTGAAATGTTTTGAGACTTTACCGTCGTGAATTTACCGTTTTGGGGCCAATGATGCTGTCATGGGAGTGATGGTGAGCGCAACTCGACCAGCGATCCACAGTTCGCCGGTTCGAATCAATCTCCCGGTGCCGGCAAGTTGAAACGATGGTGCGAAGTTCCTTAAATCTCTCCCTTCCCCGCCTCTGCCCGCCCAGCAGTATAAATGTGTACAACCACAGATGGTAGGACGCGTGTGGTGGGGTAAAGCGTGGATACTCCCACCCTCTTCCAGCACGTCTGACCGGTGTGGAAGAGGACAACCGGATACGCTCGAGCTTTTGCTCTCGTGGAGGACCCATCTGACAGGAGTGGCGTGAGCAAGCGATTCAGGACCACGCTTTGATTCAAGAACCATTTTTTTTGTTGGTCTCGTTTTAACTTCTCATACGTATTGGTTCTTGTTTTTCTTTGACTTCCGTACATTTTTGTTTGCTCCCTCAGCCTAACCGTAACAGCAGCGAATTGTTGGCATATAATTCGCGTAAAAAAACCCAAAATAAATTGTTCTCGCCCATGTGATTTTCCATGGACGTTATCGCGAGACTAAAAAAAAAATCTATGTTTGTTGAATTAACCGATCGCCGTGCCCCTCGTTAGCAGTGTCGTTGGTAGCGGTGACGGCTTGGCTTTATTTGGCAGACTCCAAAAATTCTTACAGTTTTGACAAGTGGCATTGCATTTAAAAAATGTGCGCCGAGTAATTTTGGCACGGATACACAGACACATAGCACAAGCGATGCCAATGGCTCATGTAAGGGTGTAGAATAACAACAGGGCAGGAAGTTGTTATGGAGGAGTAATTCCACCAATCATAATACATCGGGTATTGCACAAACCAGTGCACAGACGGTTTATATTTTCAAAGTATAAATGGTTTTTATGTTCATATTAACTAAAGGGTACTTACACAATCGGTCATTTTTTATTTTACGAAATGATCCGTCTTGGTTTGTTTTTGACAAAACTGACGTCAATGTGTCTGTGAAATCGATATAATACAAAAAAATGTTTTTTTGTTCCCCCCCCCTCCCTCATTTCCTAAACAACTCCAGGAATCGAGCAACAAAACCATCGAACACACAACAACAACAACAGCAGCAACTAAACTACGACACAAACTATACACGTGTACCTGAATTCAACGCTGGCAAAGATTTGCCACTCACTTCGAAAATGAATAAAAACGTATTGTGTTTTTTTGTCTTGATGTTGCTGTTTTTGTTGCTGTTTAGATGTGAGTCGGCTATTCCACGCACTGATGGTGGTGGAATAAGCCGGCAGAGCACGCTGTACAAGGGGCATGCGCTTATTTACAGAGGCTTGCCGTCACACCGACAGGGTCTCCTCCGCCATGCAGGAAAACCCTTTGAACTCATCCTGGTTGATCTGCTTGATGATGGCCTCCTCGATGGGTGTGAGCCCCGGCTCCTCCTTTGTGAAGTCCTGGTCGAAGTTGTTCACGTCCTTCTTGGTTTTCTGTCGGCAGAGGGAAGGTGCAATGGTGCGTGATTCAGAGTTTTTTGCGTGGTAAAGATTTATTTTTAAGAGCAAAAGAAAGTATTTGCGTTTATATGACATTTCTTCAATGAGACAGAAACTCAAAGTGCCTTAAACTGAACTTTTTAGCTTATTTTACCAGGTAAGGCCCACTGGGCTACATATAAGGCTCTTTTTTCTGGAACGACCTGGCCACAAATGATAGCTCAACGGATGTGGTTTATCACGTGGACATTCATAGCAGCCAAATACTCTAAAAGCTTGATGTTGATTCTAAATGTCGAGGGGAAAACATGAGGACACGGAGAAAAATCCATGCGACCACGGAGAGAGAGAGAACATGCAAACTCCAAATATACATGCGTCAGGGTTGGGATTGAACCCAGGACCTCCTGTATGCCAGGCGAGGTAGTGAACATCTCTCTAGCATGGCGCCCATTACATCACATCCCAAACAGCAACCATTCCAATGCCCTGCTGCAGTCTAGCCTAGAGCACCCCTACTGGGTGCCATCCCTGTGCAGTACAGGGTGTATGCAGAACCGGACTGTAGATGGGCATTAGTCGGACAATCGAGGGCAAAGATTGCTACGTGTTTTTATTTTCCCAATTAAATAATTTGCGAGTAATTTACCAAATTCGGCCAATTTGAATAAAAATGTTTCACTCAAACGACCATGGAGTAGGCATTCTTGCCTCTTTACAGCCATGAGCTTGTGGTATAAATTCCAGATTCCTATGGTGGGAGAAGTAAAATCAAGAGCATGAAATCGTGGAATTCCTCCCACTGGTGATGGGTGGACAAAGATCTCCCAAGCGGTCACGTTTCCTGATCATGTAAAGTGAGGTATGGTCACATATCTTCCAGCAATAATATCATAGCCTGAAACCTATGCTCTCCTCCATCACATTCGTTTTCGCCGTGTAAACCTTAGTAAAAAATAATAGATTCGTTATAGTGGAATGTTACGTGCAAGTACCAAAAGTGTAAGAATGCATTTTTTGGCTGCGAGAGGTCACAGCCAAGTGATTTCCTACTCAGATGCACATTGAGGTAGTGCTCATACCCAGTTTACAGTTCCTGATTCAGTGGTATAAAATTCCGCATTCCTCGGGTAGGAATGGGTCTATCCGTAGGACAACTGCTGTTTGACTTCCGCACTAAGTGGTACTTCTTTTATTGACCCCGCAGGGATGATGGACTGGGGCAAATCACCAACCAGGATTTTAACCTCGCAACCTTGCGATTGCAGGCCGCTCGCCCCACCTGTAAGCCTCACAGGAGACATATACAGGTGGACGCTGGTGCACGTGAAGAGTAATTAACCATTCTGCGCCGTCTGCATGTCGCGGGTGCAGTGCAGTACCCGCTCACGCGTACTTTGCAAGAACGCGGCTGTCTGGATTAATGGTCGTGAGCCCGCAAAGCACCGAGGAGCACTCGCGGCAAAAGTCAATAATCCAATGCTCGCTTGAAAACGGCTGCGCTCCTGGTCGCTGCCAAATGAGCGGGGCAGGACATCTACCCGCATCTAAATGACGTTTCAAGTGAGCCAGGGAGAGGGGAAGTATCATTATTATTGTTGTCGCCATACCAAACGTACGCAGCGGCGTAGTGGCAAAAAGATCGATGCTTCACCTTGGGGTGGAATGGACCGCGTACCCCCTGTCGGCGGCCTCCTGTGTAAGATTCCCCCCCCCCACTCACCCCGCCCCAGCCTCTCAGCTGGAAGTGCTTTAGCAAAACAGAACGTGAAACCCATGGCGGCTGATTAACGTGCAGAGGAAATTCATGCCTCGAATCAAAGCGAAGGGCCAAGTGCGTGCGTGCGAGCGAGCGCTGCACGTGCCCGCATAAGCAAGGCGAGCGACCGTGCTGGGCCCTAGCGGGACCACAGTTCCATGAGACGGAAGAAACTCTCGGCCGAAAGCTACGACGAGTGACAACGGGCTGTGAGGGAGGGCTCGTAGTGGACGTGTCGGAGACGCGCACTGGAGCAGCACTGCGGCCCTGTGTCGGGTGGGGGGATGAGGAGGGGGGGGGTTGGAGGGGGTCTGAACACCTCTCTTGCTGAAGACGCAGCCCCCCCCCCCACTTTATGGTTCAAAATTGAGAACAAATTTCAACTCCACCCCACCTACGTACGGTCCCGTTGCGCCGAATTCGAATTTTCACAGAGTTTCCGTTCCCCTTACAATGTCGATCGGTGCATTGCACCGGGCTCACGTTTTGTCGCAGTAACAAACACAAAAAATTTGTGAACAGTTAAGCGATGGGGCGTCGCGGATTATCCTGCTAAAGCCAGGTGGCGAGAGATGGAGCAGAGCGCGCGACGGACATTGGTTTACGGTTTTGTTAAACATGGACTGTGCCGCTGTGACCCCCCCCCCCCCCCAAGGTCACGCTGCAGGGTTTCAGGACTCGCAGCACTGCTGAGAGCCTGGGTTCCGAATGTTGGGTATTCAGCCACGCACGGTTAAAGTGGGTTCTCGAGTGTAGAGATGTTACGGTTTCAGCCCGGTGACCAAATAACTGCAGAAAAAAAATGAACCGTCATATATATGTGTGTGTGTAAAATAATTAATGTGGAAAAGTCTCTCGTTTCCAGGAGGGCTCTGCATGACGATATTTCCTGTACACAGCCTCATACGTTTGATTGACAGTGTAAATGGGGGGGGGGGGGAAAGACTCCCACACATTCGTCCATAACACCGCTGTGCTGCGGAGAAGGACCACTGCCTGAAATGGCACCTATTTTATCGAAAAAAATGTCTTTTAATGACAAATTTGTCGATTTTCACTTTGTTGTGTAAATGAGAGGGGTTCTTGACGGCTCAGTCTGGTTTCCTCGCCTGGTTTGGCCAGTCTCGATGCTAATGGTCAATGTACACGTGCCTATATATTCAATACACTGCTGCACCGCCATCGCCTGGCCACCTCAACAGCTCCGAGCCCACAACCCCTGGTATTCCCAGGCAGCCTCCCATACACGCGTTAACCAGGCGGGAAACCTCACAGTGAACATTTCCAAATCATCCGAATAACACATACGAGGTGTAATTTTTAATGTAATGTTACTGCAGGTTTGGAATATATGGCTGACTTGTAGAATAGGTCGCTGGTCTGTCACAGACAAGAAAGAGACAGCACGATCACCATTCCAGCATGGATAAAAATGCCGGTTCCATTTAGTATCTCCGACACCGCGGTATTCTATGGGTATTTCTCCTTTATAGAGAAACGGGAACAAAATGAATTACGTGTGAATTACAGGACTCCTCATTGGTTGACACGCCACGTCCAAGTACATCGCCCCTTCGTGATCGTACGCATGATGAAACCGCTTCTATCAATGTCTCCGAAATGTTAGCTGAACGTTTAACCACCCAGGGCTGAACTCGGCTTCGCTTCCGAGATCCGACAACGTTGGGGCGCATTTGGAGTCATTTCGGCGGAGTGATTCATACAGAGAATACGCATTTTTTCCCCCCTCGTTAAAGATCTTGAGGTGTGCACGTGCAATACGCGGCCAGAACGGCGCCTTGAGCTTACAATACGAGGCCGGAATGGCGCCTTGATCTTTTTCTTCTCCAGGAGGTCCCAGTCCATATCACGGAAGAACGGATGCTGCTTGATGGCCTCCTCATAGCCGCGCGATGCCACGCAGCCCAGACGTCTGCTTGGGTTCTTGGTCATGAACTGCTCCGACAGGCGACAAAAACAACATCTAATATATATATAAAAAGGTTCCAATCAATAGGTATTATTTTTAATACACGTCGCCCAGATTTGCGCCCGGTCTCGTCAGATCTTGGAGGAGCTAAAGCAGAGTCGAGCCTGGATAGTGAATGGATGGGTGACCACTGTGCACAGACAGGTTTGCATAGGGCTGTGGGTCTACATCGTTGGCAGCGGATGGCAACGCGGAAAATATATTGTGCTCTTGTGTTGCTCCAATTAGCACGATTCGATACGTACAGTGCGAAAGAAGTTCAACATACATACATACATAGAGCATTCGTGCTCACCTTCACCAACTTGCACTGTCCACCACGGCGAATGACAGTGAAATATTCTAAATTTACCACCCTTTCATTTGTGCACCCTCAATATAATGCATGTCGGAATATTGTGTCCCACTCTGTGTGTGTCAGCGTCATGGTCCAAATGTTTTATAATTACCTGAAAAGTAATTAGCCTCGCGCTACACTCGTGATAACCTTGCACCCTTTCCCAAGCTCCTGGAACGCCTTGTGTGCAAGTTATGCATTTCATTGTTATAATAATTATTAAATAAGATTGGAGCGAATATTAAACATACTGAACTATTGTCATTATTATGCTATAAGGGGGGTGGGGGGGGAGTGTTTGTGAGGCCCCTAAAAATGTGAACTAAATACAAAAAAAACACGTAAAAAAATCTCACCGCTTTCAGGATGGACACGGCCTCCTTGCTGAGCCAGATGGGGTAGAGGACGTCGTCATGGAGGATCGACTCGAAGAGGTCGTCCTCGTTGTCGGCCTCGAAGGGCGGCTGCCCGGCCATCATCTCGTACATGAGCACGCCCAGCGCCCACCAGTCCACCGACGGGCCGTAGTCCAGCTCCTGCAGGATCTGCGCGTGCACGGTCAAAGGGGGGCGTGGATTCACTACTTGGGTGCTCTCAGATGTCTCACCGCAAACGGTCCTAACGCCCGGCTGCGCGTTTTTCCTTGTTTGGCCTCGGAGAGCCTCCCGATGACGGCTGTCCCCCCCGTGCGGCGCAAGGTGAAGCAGAATTAGCCTGCAAGTATGGCATTAGTCTGTTCGTAGTACGGGGCGGGGGGGGGCGATGTTGCCACTGTTATGCCACTGAAGTAGTTTTGAAAATGTCGACCATGACGCCAGCACACAATGGCTTCTGGTGTACGCACGTGTGTGTAATATTAATAATAATAACATTTAATTATTATATGTATCTCTCGGATCAGAGTCTGTATTCATGCTGGAGGTATCTGATGAGCCACGAAGGCCATTTCACAGAATGCCCAGTAGAAGGAAAACGCCACGCCGAGTCCGAGCACTATTTTGACAATTTATGGAGTCGTCACGATTCAGGCTGTCCTGGTCAATGTAGCACCAACAGTGGCTGCAGGCTTTTTCAATAACCAAACGAGATACGATGTTTTATGAATGGGAACATCAGAATCTTGAATTCAACTGCAGGAATCCGATGAGCTGTGAAGCTCTTTTTCACACGTGTCCAGTCGGGGTGGTTGAGAAAATAACGGAGTCTGAAGACTCTTTTTTCCAGGAGGATCTTGCTACATTTGGATGTTTGGCCAACACCAATGTGAGAGGAAACCAGAGAACCTGGAGCAAACCCATGCAGAACAAGGGGAGAAAATATTACTCCACACGGAAATGTCAATAATCGAACCCAGGCATTTATTGCAAGGCTGTAATTATAATATATATTGGGGGGGGGGGGGACATATCCCCCCCCCCCCCATATTCAAATATGCTCAAAATGTCCCCCCCCCCCCAATATATTGCTATAAAATAGATTTCTGTTGATATAATTGTGGTTATGGTTGTACTTTATTAATCCCTAATTTCTGCCATTACATACAATGAAACAAGAAAAGGTAAAAAAGAAAAAAAAACAGTGCAATGTAATAAATACAATACACTATTAGACATTATTGTAAAAAATAAATAAAAAGTACATCCTATGTGTTAGTGAATTTTTTCATATTTTAGGCAGCAAATTCGTTTTCAAATTTAGATTATTTTTTTCTGGGGGGGGATCCCCACACCCTCTGGAAGATTTAGTGCCCCCCAATGTTGACTCCATGGCTACGGCCTTGATTTATTGAGGTGAGACTCAAGTTGTTAACACTGCGCCACACCGCCACCCTGAGTCCATGCACTACTACAATCATACTCATTACCATCCTTTGAATTTAGATCTTCAAACTGGGTAAGACGCACATGCTTAATGTATCTTACAATATTGTCATGTATGAAGTTTTCCTTTACATTTAGAAGCATTCAAAGAACACGTGTTTTTTTTGTATGTACATATTTAATTTGAATCCGCATATTGAGGTCACATCCCTGTTGCTTAAATCGCTGCTAAGACTTCCAAAACACACGCGGGCTAATTGAATCCGGGGCTGCGGCTCCACAGATTAAGCGCCGACTCTGGGGATGACCGCGGAGAATTTCGGATGCTCCCTCTCAAGACCCTTAATTAACATCGTTGCCTTCTCAGGGTGAAAGGTCCAAAGGCTTAAACCCAAAGCCTGTGCCCCAGCTTAAAACCAAAGGCCACGGGACCCACTGAGCCCATTGACATTTACACGCTGAGCCTAAGTGCGCCTCTCTCAAGTCGGCGCCAAAGTTCATCAGCCGTGATCTATCCACTGTTGGATGAAGGCCTCGCGTCGTTCGTTTTTTTATTTCTTCCGCTGCATCGGATCTACATATCGCTCTGGCACGCGAGAAGATTTAAATGCCGCGTCTCCATGGTGGACACGCTCTCCATGGTCAGTAAATCATCGTTCTCACCGGTGAATACGTCTTCCCCCCCTCCTGCTTATTTTGTACGTACGGAACGGACTAGGGGTTATGGGCTAGGGATTATGGTGAGGGATTAGGAGTTGTGGTTAGGGTTCGAGGTTCAGGGTTATGGGCTAGGGGTTAGGAGTGTTGGTCGGGTTAGGGGTGAGGATTTATGGGCTAGGGGTTATGGTGAGAGTCAGAATATTTATTTATCCTGGAGGAATCCGATCAGCTTTTTCACAGATGTCCAGTAGACAGGTTTTGGGTAAGAGGTTATGGGGCTAGGGGTTAGGTGCAACATTGGGAAGGACACACTGTAAAAAAAGGTAAAACTGTATCGAAAGAAAAACTGAGTAACAGTTTCACAAATTGGTTTGGAAGGTCGTCTTCAAATTTAAAGAATTTAGTTTTAAATGTTGTGGTACCGTGGCCTTGAATACGCCCCTCACCAACATCGCCCGCGTGCCGTGGGCTGGTTGCCGTGGAGATGGTAACCCAGCCCCTCTAAGACCCCCAAGTTAAGCGAATTATTTGGTGAAGCTGGTGCTGCTGCTGCTGCATTGTCAGTGGTGCACAAGCACATTGAATTAAAAACAAAACACTCAACATGTTCGTCAAGAAAAAAAATCGCATATATCATAGGCGACGTTTCAGGCAATCGCCCCTCTTCATAGCGCATACATGAATCACAATCTTTATTTAGACTGGAGGAATCCGATGAACTATGAAGCTCTTTTTCACAGATATCCAGTATGGGCAGGTCAGTAACTTACCACAGCAAACAATACAAAAAAGAAAGATAGGAGTGCAAAATTGGGAAAATTGTGAGTCGCTAAATATAAACAAACAATAATTCGTTCTTACATAAGTCAGATTCATCGAGATTGAGCAAGGCAGCAAAAACAATAACTAAACAATCCCAGTTCACAGCGAGATAACACACAGTAGTCCCTCGATAAAATGAAAAAACGTTGCCCATTACATACATATATTTTTGTTACTTTCAACGTCGCTCCCGTTCCAGAGCCGCAGCGGCGGCGGCGGCGGCGGCGGCGGCGGCATCAGCGCCGCGCTCACCTCGGGCGCGATGTAGTCGGGGGTTCCGCAGAAGGTGGCGGTGGTGGCGCCGTCCGCGATGCCCTCCTTGCACATGCCGAAGTCGGCGAGCTTGCAGTGGCCCTCCGCGTCCAGCAGGATGTTGTCCAGCTTCAGGTCCCTGTACGGCACCGGCCGTGGCGTCAGAACAACAACAACGACAATAATAATAAAAAATAATAATGTAGGGAAATGTTGAACTTCGTTTCCATCGTACGTGCGCATCGGAGATGCGGGGGGAAGGACAACAAACTAAGCACAAAAAGCAGTTCTACAGAAATTCGTTTTCAATTCTGATTTAAAAGTGCATAGCTCCAGTGGCTTCCTAATATTGGAAGGAAGCGCGTTCCAGACGGCCGCAGACACGCACCTGAAAGCGCGCTATGCAGTGGCCGTCTTTGTTCGATTGGTAGCCAAAAGGCGCTGCAAGGATGACGGAGTTTGAGTGGTGGTTTACGCTCCTTGATGAGATCAGCAAGGGTCTTGTGGTTTATTTGGAGCAAGCACTTTGTGTGTAATGAGCACTACCTTAGAATGTATTCTTTCGGCAACCGCATACCAATGCAGCTCGGCGAGGACCGGACGGACAATAATAATGATAATGCTACGCGCATCCGCACACACGTACATACACACGTACGCGAACGCGCTCGCTTACATCACAGAAACCACCAATGCTGCACAGAGAGCTGTGAGCCGGCAACATGGAGGCCCTGGCTTCAGCCATCCATGACTGAGCCCGGTTCTCATGTATGGAGAGCCACCACTGAATGCACTAAAAAATTCCATAATACCGAATTTTTGTTTATTGCGCTTGATCCGAATGATTTCTAGCTGACAGAGAGTTGCTCACGTCGGTTTTGACGGTCGTACTGCAACCGTTCGTACACACATACATACGCATGCACGATCGCTTAGATCGTGCATGCACGATCGCTTAGATCGTGCATGTCACCACGCATGGCACGTCACCCCCAAACCCTGGTGTCGCTTATCGAATGAAAGCCGATCGCGACACGTGGCCCTCTCTATGGGCAGCAAAGAAGGGCCGTTGCCCAAAATCTCCACCTATTACACGATTTTCTTTTTAAGGCCACGGCGTCGTTGGCGAACGTGTTGAGTTGTTTTTGTTGCGGGTTGGAGTTGTGGTGGTTGGGGCGATCGTTATCACCCTGCGCTCGTGGCCCGACCTGATTTTGATTCCTGGCCAGATATCCTTCACCAAGCAGTGGATTGACAAAGGGCCTGCAAAATTGATGATGTGGCGGCACACAGCATTTTATTCATCGGGGGAGACGTTTCGACTGCCTCGAGGCAATTTTAGTCATCGCCATATCTGAAATCACCCAATCTGAAGCGATCGGCCTAAATTGACGCAGGACCCATTATGTTGTCATTATCGCAAACTGTCCACAGCTGCACACATCTACAATGTCAAAATGACTCGTTACTTAATTTGCAGGAAGGGATAAAAATTTTCACATTAACAAGGAGTGAAGCGCCAACTGTTTTCCGTACGGCGATAAAAAAAATTCAAGACATGTATTGTGGCACGGTGGTTGGCACGGTGGTTGGCGCGCTGCTTGATAAAGCAGGCGACCTGGGTTGAGACCCAACCACAGAATGATATATGAAACAGTCCTGAGCCCAGCCCTTCACCAACCTGTGCTGACCAGCGTGGCAAGGTATGGTCAAACAAACCTCATGAAGCGATTTTAGATTGGAAAAAAATACCACTCCTGAGGGAAGTCAACATGGTTATCATTTGGATAAACTCACCACCCCCCCCCCCCCCCACCATAGCAATATGGAGTTCCCACCACTGGCTCAGCACAGGAAATCACTTTGAGCAGGAATTTCCCTGTGACTTTTGACTTTTCTTCTGACAAAGTGCTACATTTGTGGCCACACGCGCCTGCCGGGGGAGGCTAGAGAGAGGGGGCTTGGGCGAAGACGTCACGGTACCCGTCGCTCGTCACCTGTAGATGACGCCGTGCCGGTGCAGGAACATGAGCGCCGACGTCACCTCGGCGGCGTAGAAGCGGGAGCGCGGCTCGTCAAACTTGCGCGAGCGCTGGATCTGGAACATGAGGTCCCCGCCGTTCACGTACTCCATCACGAAGAACAGCCGGTCCTGTGCGGGCGAAACCAACGCGGGGCGCGCCGACTGACGGGACGGGCGGTGGAGCCTAACGCGGCAGAGGCGGCGGTGGCGGTGGCAACCGTCGGTTTCTCATCGTTATCACTGGCCATGATCAATCCAGTGATGGATGAAGGCCCACTCCGCCGAGCCGTCGCCATCCCTCACAGTGGCATGACGCAGCATAAAAAGACTAAAAACATAAAAGATAAAGAGCCCCGAAGACAAAGACGAACGGCTAATGCTAGCGGTGTACATCAGAACCGGTCTGGGGCCACCCTATGTCGATTCAGCCTGAACTGAGTACCTGAGGGGGGCCAGGCTTGGTGATGGCCACGCCACCCACTCGTTCTCCCTGTGCCGACCTGAACAGGTGCTCGCTAACAGTACTCGCCCCATTGGCCACATCGTAACGATCCGTCTAGCACCTGCATCATTGCCGACTTCATTGCTCCACGTCTGTGTTGGACGTCCTGTATGCGTCTTGAAGGTCTTTCGCACCATACGCGGCCAACCGTGCTTATCCGGAGGACGCGTTCGCTCCTTTGGTCGCCGCTCCCTCGTTTAAATTTTTACCGCTGGCCATGAGCAAAGTGAGAGGGCTCGTTCAGCGTTCTCGATCAACAGGCAGCGTGTCTCCTTCACGTATCGGGCCATCCACTGAAAATAACAGCGTTTCTTACGCAGCACATCAGCCGCACGGCCTTCTGGGAGTGCATCATTTCAGCAGCATTGTTTCAAGACAAGCGAACTCTGGACTGGTTTCGACACACAGTGCCTCATCAGCTGAGTCAGGCTTTCGTTGGCCAATGCTTGAGAACTGGCCTATGTTTCCAAGGCAAGGACCTCTATTTAAGATACGGATCTAGGTTAGACACGAAATTCATGAACACATGAAACAATATATTACTTAAAAACATTATTAAAAGTTCCGCGTGAGCGTGACACAGGAGGGTACGTGTCAGGTGAAGGATAGTGGATGACGAAATTTAAACAACCCAATACCGCAGCAAACATTAACGTTCGTATTAAAACTGCAACGTTAACAAACAGCCCTAATTTCGTTTGTAATAATGATGACTCCTATATACTTTTTCACGTGCGTTTTGATCACGAATGTGCGCACGCACAGACGCGCACGCACGACCACGGCACCAATGGCAGCTTCGTCGATTCAGCTCCCCCAAGCGCTCTCGGGTCACACCGCAAGTCGTTCGGAACAGCGACGTCCGAGCGACGTTTCGCTCCGACACGCACGCGCACTGCCCCCTTTAGTCAGCCCGCTGCTGGAAGAGGGCTTCCCCGCAGCCGTGCAGCTTGTAGGGGTTAACCGACCATACTTCGCCACGCCGGTAAACCCACTGCTGGACGAGGGGCTTCCCCACGGCCTGCGCGGGATGTAGGGCTATAACGACCATGCTTCACCACGCCGGTCACTTCGGGGCTGCTAAAGGCGCGTAGCGACGTCGGGAGGACACCGCCGGCGGTAGACGCCGCTAAAACCTCGCGGCGCTCCGTGCCCGCTCCCAGATCCGATCGAGCGAGCGACGCCGGTCTCAAGGCGTCACCGCCCCGCGAGCTGCGCCCCTACCCTGGTCTGGAAGCAGCAGAAGAGCTGCGTGAGGTAGGGGTGGTTCTTGGCGAGCGCCAGGACGCGCTTCTCCGTCATGGTGCACTCCACGTCGTCGTCCTGCACGATGGAATCCTTCTTGAGCACCTTGACGGCGAACACCTCCTCCGAGCCACGCAGCTCCGCGAGCATCACCTGCACGGCCGCACCGCACGGACGCGCGCAGGGGCCGATGTTCTCGATGTGCCGAGTGCAGGCCCAAAGGCCCACCCCCCCACCAAACAAAGTAAAATCGGCCAGCAACAAACGGCACTGTTGAAGGTGAATCGAATTTTCTCTCGTTTTCACCCGCCCCCCTCCCACCGTATTTTAAAGCAAAATTTGGGAGTGCCTCTTAGAATCTGGAGAATACGGGAAGTGTAAATATATTTATTGACTTGAGCACGGTTATTATGACTCGGGAAAAGAGAGAATGGGGGGGTGGGGTTTGTTGTTGTTGTGTGCGCTTTGACGTTGCATTGTTTACAGTGAACGAGGGCCGGATCAATGCGGGGACCTGACGGGCTGTGGCCCTGGTTTGTGGTCTGAAAGTGTCGGCCACCCACTTTGATTGATCAACTTGGCCCGTTGTGCACAGGGTAAGTCCCCCATAGCAACACAACGCCACAGCAAATTTCCATTCACGTGGGGTCATCATCACCGGAGTCATTGCGACCTCACGCAACGCAGACGGAGTTCACGCGTGAACGCGTTCGACCTCGGGTGCCACGGCGGCTAAATGAACACCGCGAAGGAAGGGAAGGTGGCGGCGATGGACTGCACCTTGCCGAAGCTGCCCTTGCCGAGGACTTTCATGAAGGAGAAGTCGGCGATGCCCATCTTGCGCCGCCGCTGGGGCCGCCCGTCGCCGTTGCTGCCGCCCTGCCCGCCGAGCCCCCCCTCCTCCCCCTCGTCGTCGTCGTCGTGGCCCCCGCCGCTTCTCGCCCTCTCCCCGGCCGGCGTCGTGCCCCTGTCGCCGCCCACCTCGTCCGGCTCTCCCTCCGAGGGCAGCCCCTCGCCCTCCCGCGCGTGGAACGTCACGCTGCGGCGGATCCCGCCCTCCGGCTCCGTCCCTGGGCGGCGGGCGCAAGAGGATCGCACTCTCGCCGTGAGACGTCATGCGCGACGACGGGCGGATACGTGGCCAAGCCATCAGCACGGTTGGCCACGCGCGGTACGGGAAGAAGTTCAACAGACGTACGCGCATACGCACGGCACAACACACGCGCGACGACGTCAGATTTTCACTTTAGCTCTCCGACGCGTTGCCAGGTCGTGCAGATCGTTGTTCGGCACCACGTCTGACCTCTCTCGCCATGAGCTGGGGGTTGTTGTGAGTTACGGGGGCTGCGTTGTTGCCTTCCGTGCGTAAATTACTCGTGAAATAGCGTTTCTCCGCCCGTATTTTTTTTTTCGCCGTGCGATTCGTGGCCTTATAACATCTCCTAGCAGTACGCAGGCAATCTCTACGGAAATAATAAAGCATGGGGTTTTCTGCAGTGACGGTTCTGAGCTCCCACCCACCGAGAAAAGTAGTTAAGATAATGTACAGTCTCTTAAAATGTGGAAATAGTGGATTCAAGATTGGCAGTTACACTGCCGCTGTTGACATTTGAAGTGAACACTGCCTCTAATTTAATATTATGAAAGGAATCTGACAGCAGCCTACAAAACCTGTTTCTGCATGGTGTCCACCCATCCAAGCACTATGCAGGCTCAACCATGCTTAGCTTTTGAGAGCCGATGAAAACGGGTAAATCATTCTGGGCGATTTGGCAATAGGCTTACAAGATATTAAAAGGCAGTTCTTGTGAACGCAATTCAGCATGTGTATCATGTGCTTAAGGCTCGATATTCATCGCCGCATTGATTCATCATTGCACCCTTTACTATGAGTGACACGTGGTGACAGCATTGATTCATTGCACCGATCCCCACCTCTCAATGTCTCGTCCGAGAAGGGCTTCCTTTCAACACTGGCGTGGAGTAGGAATTGATTGGCGTCAGGTTCTAGACTAAAATTTTGCCTGATAATAGGTTTTTCCCTTTTTTATGGCCACAAAACAGGTGTAAGATGTTGAAACACCAAACTGAAACCTTTTACAAGGAATCATGTCTGCATTAACCACAATACCTGCAGTCAAAATGCATACAAAAAACATACTCTGATAATATATGCATTGTCCTTGAAACTGACTGGTCCACACCAGAGACAGCTTTCTTTTGAGCCTCGTCTCATCGGTGTTAGACCAGAGGACGCCAAAAGGCATACAGCTCCCTATCCATAATAATCCTATATTATTCGTAGTAATGATAACAACCATTTCTATCTTGCCGTAACAAGGCGAGCCATTTCAAGGGGACACTGTACCCCATGTTACGTTAAGCGTATGGCCAGGCTTCATATCCCGAGGGCAAAATAACACGATATGCATGTGGATAGGTGCCAAAATCATTCCTGGAACAGAGTTCCGGACCCTTCCATTCCGGCCGAAGTCGAGAGCTGTGTGAGCAAGGAACAAAGTTTGTCTGTCTGTGTGTCTGTCTGTGTGTCTGTCTATGCGTCTGTCTATGTGTCTGTCTGTGTGTCTGTCTGTGCGTCTGTCTGTCTGTGTGTCTGTCTGTGTGTCTGTCTGTGTGTCTGTCTGTCTGTCTGTGTGTCTGTCTGTGTGTCTGTCTGTTTGTCTGTCTGTGTGTCTGTCTGTGCGTCTGTCTGTTTGTCTGTCTGTGTGTCTGTCTGTGTGTCTGTCTGTGTGTCTGTGTGTCTGTCTGCGTGTCTGTCTGTGTGTATGTTTGTGTGTCTGTCTGAGTCTGTCTGTGTCTCTGTCTGTCTGTGTGTCTGTCTGCGTGTCTGTCTGTGCGTCTGTCTGTGTGTCTGTCTGTGTGTCTGTCTGCGTGTCTGTCTGTGTGTCTGTCTGCGCCTGTCTGTGTGTCACATCTGCGTGTCTATTTGTCGGTCTGCGTGTTGCCCGTGTGCGTGTCTGCCTGCGTGTCCGTCCGTGTGTCTACGTGTCTGTCTGCGTGTTGCCCGTCTGCGTGTCTGCCTGCGTGTCCGTCCGCGTGTCTGTGTGCTTGAAACCGTTGCGGGCGCCACACACCCTGGTCACTCGGCGTGCTGGGCACCGACTTGGATCTGTCACAGCTGCTGGGCCGTGGAAGAGTCGAGGTGCTGAGCTGAAGGGACGAAAATAAAAAGTATATATGTGTGTAAACACCTATGGATAGAGTAATGCCCCGATGTACGTCTCCCCCTCTTACGTCGTTTCTCAAATACGTCACCACGTGATGAATACCACTCCGTGATTTGCGTCACCTCAACCCACACTCACGTCGCTGACAGCATCCTTGTCTCGTTATCCGTCGCCTCCACCACCTAACCTGTACGTCGCTGTGATTGACGTCGCTTCGCTATTCGTCCTCGCACCTTGCAGGAATGCGTCACCCGACGTAAACCGTGCTACTAGTGACCTCTACAATTGCAAGCCCGGCGTACGGACCATTACACCGCTGTGGTAACAGAATCAGATAAGAATCAGAATCTTTATTTATCCTGGAGAAATCCGATGAGCTGTGAAGCTCTTTTTACACAGATCTCCAATTGAGGGCGGGTCAGAATAAATAAATAAATATCCTCAAACTTCTAAACTGTGCTATCGCTCTCATAGTCTAAACTAAAACTATTAATATTTTACCAGGTAAGGCCCACTGATCTGTATAGCTCTTTTTCTTCAGCATCCGGGCCACAAATGTCACGTGGAAATTCATAGCAGCCACATGCTCAAAACGCATAGAACGGTTGCTTTATTGTGCGATGCCGCTAACCAAATGCGTCCGTCTATAATACAGTTTTTTTGGGGTTAGATCGCGTAAATATATAAATGTGTCGTTAAACCCGCCACCACCCGACACAGCCAATTAGTAAGGTTTGTCACGTAAACAGAACGTGGCCAATTCGTCACTAGTACAGCACACCGGTGTGTTGGAGAGCCGAGCCACACAATTTACAATCTGAGTACGACGTTTCGCCAGTAATTACAACTAGCTTCATCAGGCGACAGCCAGATTTGTGGAGAAGTCTTACTGTTTCGCGCGGTCACGGTAACTCTGGTGGTAAAGACGATTCGATATAAATGTCTATCTTTTTTCTCTTCAGGGTCATGACATGAGGGGTCAAGCACCGCCGCCCACGCGGCTCAAATCCCCTGGCGTGCCTGCAGGCGCGCGCCATCAGGGTTGCCAGCTGTCCTTGTTTTTCCCATGAAGTCCTACTTTTTAACGCAGCTGTCCTGGGAGATCTTTAAGTCTTCCCAGGGGCCAATGAAAGTTCCAAGTTTTTGTTCGCCGTGGAATAATAATAATAATAATCATCCAAGGGGAGGTGGACAACATTAACGACAGTTGTTACCGAGAATAGGCAAGAGGAACATATGAAGACGACGGAGGGAATTGGCAGCGAGAAGAAATCACACAGGGTTCAGCAGAGGCCGCGACTGGACAGGGGCAATGGGGCAGAGGAGAGGGAAGTGACAGTCTGTCCATCCCCCGCACCTCCGATCAGCACGGATGGGCTACATACGGTGGGAAAGAAGTTCGACGTGCAGTACATACATACCCCGACTAACAACGGCACTCAACGTTATGCGTTCACAGGCAGTTCTCCCCTCCTCCGTAATCGTCAGATGCTGTTCGCCCTCCCCTTCTCCTCCTTCCCATAGCTTGCCGCGGTCGCGCGAACCCTCGGGAGGTGTGGCGCAACCGCCGACGCGCGACGCCGCAGCCACCACCTGCCTTTTTCTTGCGCACGTTCCTCTGTGTGATCTTGTCGGGGGTCATGCCGATCTCGGCGAGCGCCTTGGCGATGCCGCGTGCGTCCACGCCGCAGTTGGGCGCCACGTTGCACTCGCACCGGCGGTGAGCGTTCATCTTGCAGACTGCGGAGAGTGAACGCGGAGAGCGAAGGGCGGGTCGCGCGGCCGCGACCCGCCCCGATGACCGGACGACGGCGACGACGCAGGTACGGTAACGACGATTGGAATAGCGTGCAGGGTTCAAGACGCACTAGCAGCTCAACTAGGAAGAGGCACGCGAGGGAAGCGTGCGGATAGGTGGGCGCGTCAGGGCAGGAAAAAACACAGGCGGAGAGAAAGGCACTTGCGGCGCGACTCAGAACTTACAACAACAATAACAAGAAACAATACCGAGCCCCAGAGACAGCCAGAGCAGTACCAACATACAGTATCCTTGTCTGTTTACATATTAGAACTATGGTTACCAGATATCTGATACATGTACTATACTATGACCGGTATAAAACTAATCAGCCCGGCTTGTGAAACCAGGGAATGTATCTATTCACATTTGGTTCATGTTTGTGCAATGATTTAGATTAGTCACGTGACACCCGTTGTTTTTTCCACTGAATTCAATGTTGCTCCATTGCTGAAATGGAATTTGCATTTCTTTGTGTTAACTTGGTGACCCAGGTCACTCGAGTAAATGAGACTTAATCCTGGTCTCATGAGTTCTCACACATGGTTAAACCAAATTAAAGTTACTTTAACAACGGGTCCGAAGGCATTATCAAGGGGCAAGCGCCCTTACAATGAGTCGCAGTGTAGCCGTGCCCCTAGTCACTTACAACCGGTGATCCAATCACCTTCGATTCAGTGACGCCAACGAGTCTCCTCGTTCCGATTGCTCCAAACGCTCGTCGTAGTAGTAGCAGAGGTGTGACGATGCATCGACTCATCCATTAAAGTATATCCGTACGACCGTAAATGTGAATGCGTAGAATCGTGCGCGTGTGAAAGGACTATGTTTTGTGTCGTAGGTAAATTGCTTAAACGCGACCCCCCTTCGGCCATTGGAGGTGACACGTTCAGAATGTTACGAAACTAATCTTGCAGAATATTTTTTTAATCGAACATTTTTTTCTTTCCAATGTTAAATACAAATTAATTGCCAGCGACGCACACCCAAAAATAACCAAAACCTCAACACGTTTGTCAATAACACTATGGCCTTAAAAGTGGAAAAAAAATCAGTCGGCGACGTTTCGGCTATGAAGGGTCACTGCTTGAAACGTCGACCATTGTATAGATGTTGAATTTAAGACAGTATTTTTGATGAACGTATTGACTTTTTTTTTAGTCCATCAGGTTCAGTGATACCCACTATTGGTGGAGCGTGAGGCACCGGATTTTGGGGGGTTTTGGAGTTCTGGAGCTTGGGGGGTTCAAGGGTTTGGTGCCGGGGCCAGGGCCTCTCACCTTTGCACTGAAGTCCCTGCCTCAGGAGGCCCCAGAGCAACGAGCCGCAGTGATCACAGAACGTGGGCACCTTGTAGTTGTGGATGGAGAACTTGTGCGGCATGTTCACGCTGAACCGCTGGCTTCCCACCTGCGAACACAGCGTCCCGGACGCATCGTGCGTCGACGTCGTCATCATCATTATAAATCGTCACCGTCATATTGTCATAATTGTCATCATCATCGTCTTCATAATCATCGTCGTTATAAATATCGTCGTCATCATCATCATCAAAATAATTGTAGTCATCTTCATCATCAACATGATAATCATCATTGCCTTCATCGTTATCTTCATCATCTCATCATCAGCCTCTTCATCATCACACCATCTTCATAATCATTTGCACAACCGTCGTGATCGTCGTCCCCAAATTTTACCAAGCGCCGAAAAATCTGTAGCGTTTCATCAGAGCGCTTTCTGACGGAAAGCTCCCCCCCCCCCCCCCCCCATGACCGACACGGTCATGGGGGGAATGATTGACCATACTTCACTAGATTGGGCTTGGCTTAGACGTGTCACGCGTGTACCGACCGTCGACCCATGTCCCCGGAACAGACCCCAATGCCCCGTCACTCACACATCCCCTCCCCCAAGCCGTCATCACGGCTTTCCGGCCGGACATCGAACAAAGGCGGCCGCCGCATCGCGCGGCGTTTTTCAGATGCGCTTCTGCGGCCGTCTGGAACGCTCTTCCTTCCGATATTAGGGAGCCACTGGAGCTATGCACTTTTAAATCATGCCAAATGGAAACTCATCTCTTTAGAACTGCCTTTTGTGTTCAGTTTGTTCTCTTTTCCCCGGCGCCTCCGGTTAGCACGGTCAGCTACGTACGGTGCGAAAGAAGTTCAACGCGGTCTTTTCGCCTACAACGCGAGGTTTTATAACGCGATTTAGCGAACAGAACCACGCCGTAAAATCAGAATAAGCGGTTGTACGGCTGCCTCGGGACACTGCTGGATGTGTCGAGACGCTGCCCGCGCGCCTGAGTCTTTGTCCAGCCTGCGACTGCACCTCACGTGTTGTCACGGACTTGCGCTTTACCCTACATCTATTATAACGCCGTGCTTACATGACGCGTCGTTCTTCAGGAACGCAACTACCGCGTTATAGGGGAACAGAATGAGATGCGCATAAGACCAGGGCACGAACTTGACCGGTTGGTGCATTTCGCAGCCACTAGAGGCGATGTAACTAACCACACGCTCCCTGGGCGAGTGTGGTCGCTGTTTGGTGGGAACAGTAAGGGGGGTGGGGGGTCATTCTAGATTTGAAGCTTTCGTGACTGCAAGGATTCACACTCTTTGGTTTTTTCGGTAAAGTCACGTAGGTAAAACAAAATTAAAATAAAACAACTAAATCAAATCACGACGTTTCGGAGGCAACAAACAAGCTTCCGTCTGCAGGTGGAACGGTCACAGCAAGATAGCTGCAATGGGGGGGGGGGGGGGTTCATCTCGGTCAGGCGTTCCCACGGCACCTGCTGGGTCTGTCCCGTGACACTCCTGCCAGCGGACGCTCGACGCTTCACGTGGCCTTCACGTGCACGCAGCCTGGCACAAGCGCCGCGGTGACGTCACCGCCACTTACTGACGAATGGCGCTTGCTGCCGTTGTTGTCGTCGTCTTTCGGGGAAGTGCCTCGTGCACATTTTTGCCCGCCGTGTGTGCGGACATGCCGCGTTGGGTGTCAGCGCGTCAACGTCGGGCGTCCGTTCGGTGAGCGTGGGAGCGAGCGAGCGAGTCAGCGAGCGGTCGCTACCCAATAGCGGTCAGCCCCTTATCAGTGACTACCTCGTTACAGACCAATTCAGACCTTATTGGTCACCCCGTGCCCCTATATCAATCTCAACGTTCATCCTACAAAGTCCCATCACAAGGATAGAAACACAAATAGACAAAAAAAATGTTGCCCGTATGTGAAACGGCTGTACGCCGTTTGTACCGGAAAACTAAATTCCCCTGTACAAGAATACGGGTTAAACCGTATCGCTTGACAGGTATGGGTGAGTCTGTGGGTCTCTGTGTGATTGAGTGAGTCTATGGGTCTCTGTGTGGTGAGTCTGTAGGTCTCTGCGTGAGTGAGTGAGTCTATGAGTCTCTGCGTGAGTGAGTCTATGGGTCTCTGTGTGATTGAGTCTATGAGTCTCTGTGTGAGTGAGTCTATGGGTCTCTGTGTAATTGAGTCTACGAGTCTCTGCGTCTATAATTCAAACCTTATTGGTCACCCCGTGCCCCTTATACATCACAACGTTCATCCTACAAAGCCCGTATTGAAACGGCTGCACAGCGTATGGACCTGAAAACTCAATTTCCCTGTACAACAATACGGGATGAACCGTATGGGTTGACAGGTAGGCTACTGTGTGGTGCGACTCTTGACAGTTCAGCAGCTGGGACACGTTAACCTTTTCCTGGCGGGGGTGTGGAGGGGGGGGGGGTCTGTAGGGGGGGGGTCATCAGTCAGCGTCGCAATGAATGAACTCTAAAGGTTTCGCCTTGTGAGCCAGTTAGGTAGGGTTTGTCTCCTCGGAGTGGCGACAACAACAATGACGGAGGTGCATTCCTCAGGAAGACGAAGAAGAGAAAGAGGATTACACCCACAAGACCAGAAGAGGGGACAGACTACACGCAGTCCTTGGTTGCAGCCGGAAAGGTCCACAACGCTCTTCTGGAAAAAAAAATGTTTGTTTCTACGACAGTGCAGTCGTGTGTAAGGATAGAGGGTTCAGAGGCATCCAGGATTCACTTGAATAGGCGTACCTTGTACGCCTTATGCCGATAATCTACACTCCAAGCAAGACTAGTTTACGGAAAATGTTGAGCGGGGAAATTAAGTCCTGACAGCATGTAAACGAATTGTCTCTCGGGGTGTATTGTTTTTGCGATTGAAAATACACCCCGATTTACCAAGGTGAGACCAGGACCCCTGGTGTGTATGTTAAACTTATTTTGCACCGTACGTAGCCAACCGTGCTAATCGAAGATGCAGGTGGGAGACCTATTGTAAGAGTAGGAGCGCTCTGCATTCATTTTGAAAAGCAATTTTTTTTTTCTAACCAGGGCCCAGCTGGTGGCTCCAGGTGCGGGATATTGCGAACTCCGTCCCAGCTTTTCCCACCCAAAACAAAAAACCCAACAGCTTTACAGGTCTGGCGACAGCCCAGCGGCGCCACACACGCGCATCGGGACATTGCCTCGTGCTTTACGACTGCGCGCTCCAATTAAGACAGCTGCTCGTGTCACCCACAATCACAAAACCCGAGGCAGAGCTCACTGCCTTAACTGAACTGGAGGCCACTGCAAAAGTGCCTGCCTCGAATGCCCTGGTCGCCTGGTGGCAGATAACTCGAGTGGACTCGAATTGGCTCGAGTTGGCCTGTCTCTCAAAAATCCAGTTCTAAGACACCTTGAGTTGAAGGACACTTTGAGATGAAGGACGTCTTGAGTTGAAGGACGTCTTGGTTAAGTGACATTTCCTTGATTTTCTAAATACACTCGAGTTCTCGCTTGAGTTGGGCCTGATCCTACTTGCGAGAAACCCTTCTGCGCACGACTTTCCCAAGGCGAGAGAGGTCAAGATCGAGTCGCCGATAGAGTGAAATGTCAATTGTCAAACGTTACTGTAACGTCATATTAAATGCTGTCACCTGCAATATTAATTATTTGTACGCGTGTAGTTGATGTATTTCCTCTCCCCCCCCCCCCCCCCCCCCCCCCCGAATTCTGACGAAGGGAATCTAAGGTCATCACAGCCCCTAATTCGCAGGCGACTTGAAGATGTAACAAATAAATAAACGCTTCGAGTTTTGGAGAGAGAACAAAGGTAAAGCCGCAGCCCTGCAATTGCTTTCGCTCACGTGACTGTTGGCGGAAGGGCTTCAACTAGAGGGAGCTCGAGATCATTTGGATGTTTGTAGGTGCTCGCTAACAGCACTTGCCCCAAACAGTTTGTTGAGGCTATACGGGGGATCTTTGTCTTTTGTACGTGTGTGAATGTCTCTGTGTGCGCGAGCGCGTGATTGTGTGCGCGTGCGTGCACATGATGCAATCCCTGTATCGAGACGCCGAGGCTGTCTGGTACCTCTTCTGTCGTCTCTTTCTTGAGGCCGGGGCATTTCGTGATGATGTGCGTGTGGCAGCGCTTATGCACCACGCACGTGCACACTGCACAAGGAAACACACACACACACAAAGATAAAAGACAAAGATCCCCCGTATAGCCTTAACAGACTGTAGGGGCAAGTGCTGTTAGCGAGCACCTATGAAGGCCGTAACGGTACACGAGGGGGTGGGTGGCCAGCACCACGCCCGACCGCCTTTGTCTCCCCAGTGGCAATGTTTACACACCGCACCGGCTACTCATTTGAGGCTGAGTCGACCTAGGGGAGGCCCGGGACCGGTTCAGATAATCGTCACTGGTGTTGGCCGTGAGCGGGAATCGAACCCGGGTCGCCAGGTTCATAGCGCAGCGCGCTAACCGCTACACTACCGCTCCCCACTCACAGACACACAAACACACGGAGATAAATATCGCCAGTGCAACGGGGTAGTGTGGCCAGCACCACTCCCGGACACCACCGTCACCCAAGTACCGATGCTTACGCAACAAACCTGGTACCCATAACAGGTTGAGTCAACCTAGATGGTGACCAGAACAGGTTCAAGTATCACTCATTACTGGAGTTGGACATGGCTGGGAATCAAACTCAGATGAGCAGGTTCATAGTGTTGTGCGATAGCCACTCTGGCTCGCACACAATGCTTACATGAAAGCAATCGTATTTAAAACTGATTTTTATTTGTAATATGTTAACATGCTAGAAGATGTGTGTAATATATTTACTAGACTGTCATATTTCTAGCGTATATAGCAAACACGACGCTCCACTTAGTAAATTATGAAAACATATCGTAAGTTACTTTAAATTGCATTTTAAATACAATTTTTATCGACATTTATAGGAATGGCTGCAAACGTATCCATCTCGGAGTTCACATTCACGTCAGATATTTCCATTGAGTGAAACGTCTAAACAATCTATGTGTATATGTATTATACTATTTCCACAATGCAATAAAATTACATATTTGTTCTGTGCGGGCGAGTGCAATAACACGAGCACGTCTTTGACCAACAGTGTGGTTACGGTCAAGGCTCTTCAATCATGTTCCCTTGTCGTGTGCGTTGAGCTGGGTTTTATCACATTTTACGCCTGAAGCTATGAGACACACGCACACACACGCGCGCGACTGCAAAGCCCCGAAGTTATGCATTTGACACTGAAGCATTGGGGGGAATGTTAGGGGTTGAATGTTGCCACCGGCCAGCCACTTGATTTTCACGATGACATTTCTCAACCGTCAAACAAACAAACGAATGAAAAAGCATATGCAGTGCAGGGATGCACCGGGAATTCGTTGGGCTATAGCTTCTGACCATCGTGTTCTCCGGGTTATAAGACGCTCCGTATGGGAAGTAAAGATGCTTCACCCACCCATCACCATACTTATGGGGGTCGTTTAATAATAATAATAAAGTGAGTGTTTTACAATCTGAAGAACACAATTCTTCAGAGAGCCGTCTTCCAGAAGATGTATATCGTGGGACCATTTTTTCCAGTATCAAAGTATGAAAAATAAGAATAGTTTTTACCAATTCTGGCAATAAAACAAGTGTTAAGATGTTCAAACACCAAATAGATACATTTTGCAAGGAATCAAAGTCTGCATTAACCACACGTACTTGTGAACATGCAAACAAACATGCTCTGATAATAATGTATGCATTGTCTTTGAAACGGATTGGCCTACACCAGAGACAGCCTTGTACGTATGTATGTTGAAGTTATTTCGCACAGTGCGTAGCCAACCATGTAAATCAAAAGTGCGGGTGGAGGACAACAAACTAAACACAATAACAAGCAGTTCTACGATAAATTTGTTTTCAATCTAGATGTAAAAGTGGATAGCTCCAGTGGCTTCCTAAAAAAACAATATAATAGGGAGAGATGTCTTCTGGAAGATTATTCTAAACGACGAGAGTGTAGCGAGTCTTCCAGGAGATAATGCATTGCGATGGAGAGCCACATTCCAGGATGTGAAGGACTCTAATAAAAATATTTAATCCAGAAGACCAATTTATTTACCTAATTATAAGACATACCCCTGACTTTTGCTTTTAAATATGGGGGGAGGGAGTGTATCTTAGAATCGGGACGATACGGGGTCATTCATTCCGTTTCCAATGAGAATCAACTGGAGTCGAGTGCTTGGGGAAGCCTTCATCCAGCAGTGGATTGAGCATGGCTGATAACGATGACAATACATGTATGGAGCAGCGTGATGAAGTATAGTTAAATATCCCCCACGACCCGCATGGCATTGTGAGGGCCCTCATCCAGCAGTGGATTGACAACGTGGCCATACACCGACATGTGACGTACGAAAATCAACACAATTGTCGTCCTTTAGGGATATCTCTCTTATATATGACATCAGCACGTGTACACGTGTGCTTAAACAACAACAACAACAACAACAAAAACACAGTGCTCAATCATCCTTGCCAAATCAACATTTGGAGATTTCCCTTCTATAAGAGTGGGGCTTAGTCTGGACCGCGTCTGTCCCAGCGGACGGTGCTAAATCACGTTTCTCCAGCTGGAAGTGGCTATGATCGATGGCTCTGGGATTTACTGCCTGCACTAAATAAAGGCTGGCACTTTAACAACACCGCCAGGTAAGCATTTACGTTAGCAACCGGGCTGTGTAACTTGTCGATAACAAGCATAAAACAATCCCCCCATTCAGCCAGGTAGAGTGGCAACAACTGCACCAATGTCCATGCACCACTGTATCGTTAAAACGCTCGAAGTCGGCTCTGACTTCACAACGATCGCGAATTCATCTCACCTCGTTCGAACGAAAATGATGGGACATGACACTGTTCATGGCTTTGACTGTACTGTGTTTTGTTTTGACTCGGCGGTGGCGCGCACTGAAAAAGGCTACCTGAGTTTGATTCCTGGCCACGGCGAACATCAGCGGTGAGCGACTGACCGGCGTGGTGAAGTATGGTAAAAAAAAAAAACCTCCATGACCGTTGCAGGTTCCTTCCCACGCCATGTAGGCCTTAAGCGTTGTTTGACCATACTTCACCACACTGGTCAGTGTTTGTTGATGAGGGCGGGGAGCATCGTCGCGGGAGCATAGAAGCACAGAACAACATTGGATTGTTCTGCACTGCAGTCTACTGCTCACAACATCGCTGTATATTATAAAAACGAAATATGCACCATCTTGGAGCATAGTGAGTATCGTTTATACAGATGATAGTCTGTCTTAAGGATAAAAAAACGACCTATTAGCCTTTGGAGCAACGTTTTCAAGCAGCATTGTTGAGCAGCCAAACTCTGGAGCGATTTCGACTTTTTTTTTTCTTCATTTGAGCCTCATCAGCAGCGTCGGGCTTGTTGGAGTAAACTCAAGGAACGGAACAGACCCACGCACACGCACGTGCATCTCGACTGCTGTGGCGCCTTACCTTGACACTGGTATCCCTGCTTCCCCAGAACGCCCCTGCGGGAACACGAGGGCAGCACTTAAGGTAGCGCAGCGAGGGTGCGTGGGTCAACAAATGTGAGAATTCACATCGCACCCCGTGCCGCGGCGCGTGCGTGCAACGGTGGATGAGACAAATGTAATGGCCACGTCTCTTTTTTGTTTGTTTGCATTTCACATTGCGGCGGCGTCCGCGCACATTGCAACTCGCAAACCGCCGCGCAGTTTGGTAACAGGCGCAGTTTTCAAGCGGAAGCACGGGCAAAGCACAGTGCAATCGAGGCAAACGGCCGCACATTATCACGGTAAAATGCAACCCCGCACTTATAACCAGGGCGACCGCCAGATTTGAACTTTGCAACCATTTGCAACGAGCATTGAATGACCGCTGCACCACCGGGCCAATGTACGTCAGCAGCTGCCAGGATCCACGTCTTTCGCATCTTCACACCCGCACGGCTACGAAACAAATGCTGTGCATTACACTACTCACGTGATCGATGTCGTGGTATACAGCATCTTAAGATGCTATGCGCAGAAAGGGCGTGTGCATGTTAACGTCATTGGGAGAATGGCAGTCAGTTTTAGCTATAGGCAGGGGAAAGAAAGGGCAGGGCTTGAGCCTTGGACTTTAACAGGGAGTTTGAGAGCACGGATGGAGGGGGCAGGGAGTTCCAGACTGATGGGAGCGAGAGGGGCGGGGGGCAGCACATGAGTACGAGCAATACAATACACGAATACCGACATGAATACGAGCAAATAATATTTTATGCAATTTAAATCATCTGGATTGAACACTCATTTCTTGTAAACTGCTTTTTGTGTTTAGCTCGTTATCCTTCTCTCGCACCTCCAATTAGCACGGTTGGCTACGTACGGTGCAAAAGAAGTTCAACATACATACAGACAAATGGGCGAATGACACATCTTGCAACAGTAGAAATAGTAATGCAATGATCGGCATGCGAGTGGTATTCTCCCTAGTCGATATATGTAAGGATGTTGAACTTCTTTCGCGCCCGTACGTAGCTAAACGTGCTAATCAGAGATGCGGGGGGGGGGGGGAAGGACAACAAGCTAAAAGCACAAAGCAAGTTCTAATGAAATTAGTTGGAGAGGATGGAAATGTATCTGCGAGGCTTGGTTCCATTCCGTGCATGGATGATGCACAGTTTGACTCCACCCCGCCACCCCCGCTCCCTCCACTTGGTCGCAATGCCCCAGTTTCACACGAGACGTCGTCGTTTTACGACGAACGGCTCGACGACAAAAAAAAACTACGACAACAACAATAACAGCAACAAAAACTTCCGTCATGTAAATCATGGCGATGGCCCCCGTCGGGAAACGGGGGCCTCGGACGGTCATAAATCCCGCGTCGTCGCAGTCCGGCTGGGCGAAAGTCGCGCGCATCAAATCCACGCTGCGTCGTTATTCGCGTGCTCCTCTTTAAATCACGCACGAGGCGTGCGTGGGATTTCTCGGGGAGGAGCAAGAGATGATAGCAACAACAACAGTGCAGCCCAATGCAATCGCGTTTTGTATGTGCGTATGTTGAACTGCGCTTACCATCCCTCCCCGCCCAACCCCCCCGTATACCTCCTCTTAACCCAAATTGATAAAGTTGTCTTTTTATTAAAAGTGTCTTTAGATGCATATGCGTGCTTTAAAAGGTCAGGGGCAGAAATTGTGCAGGCCTGCATTTGCTCGGTCATGCCGCTTGCTCGTAGAAAGGCCGCTCTATAAGAGAGCCCCCCCCCGCCCCCTCTAGAGGGTATTGTTGGCCGCTTCTTCCACGTCGGCCAGTCGAATTGGAAGATGTAGCAATTACAGTACTCGCACTTTACCCCACAGTACGTGCCCAATAATTTGCCGAGAACACTGTTCACATGCAGCGCGATCATAAGGCTGTCCGTACGGCAAGTCCTTGGCAAATCCTGCCCGCTAGGCTATTTAAATCAAATTGTGCCAGCACAGCCACGGCAAAGCAATGCCCCTTTAAGCCTCCGGGCCATTGCAAGGAACATCCATTTAACGTTTAACAGACACTGACTTTTATTTCCTGCGATCGGCAGAAAAAAATAACTGAAAAAGTACATAACAACGCAGCTAATTTCGCCACTCAATCTCCGCAGTGGGCGTACTCCCTCGACGCGCGTCACTCGTTCGGCTGCCGTTCGTCTCCCACTGCCGGCCCACGCTTTAAGGACATTCGAACCGACGCTGGGGTTTGTCAAGCGTTAATTCCGTAATTTTGCTGCGTGTTGGCCGGCGTTATAGCTGCGTCCCGTTGAACCGCGCCACGGCACGGCGGAGTTACGGGACCCGGTGGTCGACATGAAAGACGGAGTGGCTGCCAAAGGAGTGAATACGACCCTAGAGTAGAACACGCCGTCGAGGTCAATCTCAGCAAAAGCTCGGACAACGGCTCTTGTGTAGGTGCTGAGGCGGATTGTTTGCCATCTCAAGACTTTGATAGATGGTGACGGCTTCGCCAGAACCTTAATCCAGCAGTGGAGAGATCATGGCTGATGATGATGATGGCGAGACGTAGGTAATATGATGATACGCAAGTAACATTTAATCGGCACTGGAGTGGTGACTTGCATTTCGCTTTTGGAAATATAAAATATTTTTTTTTCAGTCCATAATTATTAATCCACTGCTGGAATAAGGCCGCTTGCATGCTGTGTCTGTCTTGAGAGTTGCTTGACCATACTTCACCACCGTTGGCCAGTGCAGATTGGCGAAGTTTTCATGCCTAAATCCACAGTTCTGAATTTCAATTGAGATTTGCTAAAGTCATAGAGCTTGCGGCACGCTTTATTTGCTGAGACAAGTAAAAAAATGAAAGAGATTTTACGTTTCATTTTGCTCTGTAATTTCAGGCTCTAAGTTTTAATGAACACCCCAGACTCTGAATGCAAGTAAGAGACAAGATTAAGCTTCCCTAGCTGCTGTCATGGAAATGTTTTAATAAATATTCTTTTCCATTTTAAATATTCATTAATGCAATAATTAAATCGCTTGTGTGTTTAGTAATTTGTGTTTTGCATGAATATGTATGGGGAGCGGTGGTGCGTTAGATAGCGCAATTCCCTTGAGGGCCGGCCCCATGTGTTTGATTCCCAGCCACGGCTAACATCAGTGGCGAGTGATAACCAACTCGCACTGACCGGCGTGGTGAAATATGGCCAAAAAAACACCCATGACTGTCACGGCTTAATCCAGCAGTGGATTCACAGACGCTGAACATTATTGTTTTAAATAAAACAATAGTTATTTCGGTAAAGTCCACGTTGAAGGGAAACAATAAAATAATATATATAATACAGTAAAATTCTCACGACGTTCGACTGTAACCGCAAACAGTCATCATCAGGTGTGAAAACCAACGGCTATTTCCGTTACAGTCGAAACGTCGTGAGAATTTTATTGTTTTATATTATTATTTTATTGTTTCCCTTCAACGTGACTTTACTGAAAGAACCAAGAATATGAATCACTGCAGTCACGAAAGCTTTAAATCAAAATTTAAAGCAATAGTATTACAATCAGTGTCATTTCCTAACACCTACACGTACGGCGGCTTTGACCAAATCGCCCAGAATGTTCCCGATCGCGTCAGACCTCGGAAGCTAAGCAGAGTTGAGTCTGGAGAATGCTTGGATGGGCGACCACCACCACGGGGTGCACAAATGACGAAGGCTGTGAGGCCGCGTTTTGTGAACAGAGCAGCAACATCCACTGCTGCCCTGCACTTCAATGCTCCGATATCTATTCTCCACGCCTTGGTCGAACAAGCCGCTGTGACCAACGCGGTTGGCGGGGAGGCCTTCAACATCCATCAGCGCGGGGATTGGCAAAATGGGCCGTACGTGTAAACTAAACTATTTGTATTTTACCAAGGTAATGCCCACTGAGCTATGTAGCTATTTTGCAGAAGCGACCTGGCCACACAAATGATAGCTCAACGAAGTGGCTGATCGCGTGGACCGTTCATAGCAGCCAAATACTCTAAAACGCATGTTGCGTTGAGAGACAAGAACCGGTGGACCTAAATTTAAAAAAAAATCAATACGACCACGTTGAGACCATGCCAACTCCAAATATACAGCAGGCGTCAGGGTCAGGATCCGACCCACGACCTCCGGCATACCAGGCACCCTCTACATGTCCATGTACAGAGCGGCTGCTGGTGAATCGTTGAACGGAGGTCTCGGCTGCAAATGAAAATTTAAAAAATGCCATCTCTCTCTCTCTCTCTCCAAGGAGCAAGGCTCTCCGTGACTGACACACGCGAATGCTCGCAGTAGCAGTAGAGACCGCACCTCGGGCCAACACCTTAACGGAATGCAATTCGCAAAAGGGATCCATCGGTGATGAGACTGCGTCACTAACGGCGCACGCAATGACGCCTGTTGACAAGGCTGGCACATGGCTGTGCTCGGTAGGCAGCGGGCCGAGTTTACCTGCGGTGCTCAGGCGGTGGTGGCGATAGGCGCGCTGGATTAAATTGGGGGGGGGGGGGGCGGGGGAGGTGATTCGCGACCCTCCAAGACTGCGGCATCGATTCGCGTTTCGCCACGCTTCACCAAGCACGAGGGCAATTTTCGAGTTATTCTTTTCCAGGGCGGGTTGAGGGGGGCGGTGGGGGGGGGAGATTTCGCCTCAGACCTGCCTCTCTCTCTCTCCTCTTTCACGCTGGCGTTCCGCATCAGGGAGAGGGGGGTGGGGTGGGGGGCGAGGTCCTCGATTTAAAAAAATGCGGCTTTGATTGATGCCGCCGCGGCGACTGTGCGGGGAGCGGTATGGGGCCGTCCATAAATGACGTCACGCACCTGGGGGGGGGGCAGACATTTGTGACGATGTGTGACGAGGGAGGGGGGGGTTTGAGAAATGTGACATCACGTCAAAATGCGCAACTTTAAATAAATATAGACAACACGTTCTACTTAATGATAAATGTTTTCTCCTACAACATCAGAGTGCAGCGCCACATTAATAGCACTACATGA